CTGCACGTTTCAAAATCAACACGGCGCGGGTGTTTTATATGAATGTATCTCTGAAGGGAACCGACTGTCTTCAGAAAAGTTTCGATGGCATTTTCATTTGATCTGATAAAGTAGCATTCATGAGTGGAGCTGCTTTGATTCCAGCTGTTACCAGGGAAACCGCGAGTTCTATCACTCCAAAAGCGCCTCCTGCTGGCAGACAATCAGTTTGCATTTTCAATAAGCCCGTCTCCAGCAACATTTCCAGTTTTTGTTGTTGTTCAATTTTTTTGTTTTCTGCAGTGACTCGGAGCACTTTTCATACCCTGTTTTTCTGGCTGAAGCACATTTGTTTCAAATCTATAAGAATAATCAGCCTACACTACCAGTCAAAAGTTTTTGAACAGTAAGATTTTTAATGTTTTTTCTTTCTTTCTAAGAAGTCTCTTCTGCTCACCAAGCCTGCATTTATTTGATCCAAAGTACAGCCAAAATTTTGAAATATTTTTACTATTTAAAATTGCTTTCTATTTTGAATAGATTTTAAAATGTAATTTATTCCTGTGATGCGCAGCTGTATTTTCAGCATCATTACTCCAGTCTTCAGTGTCACATGATCTTCAGGAATCAGTATAATATGCTGATTTGCTGATTATCAATATTTAAAACAGTTGAGTACATTTTTTCCCCCCAGGATTCTTTGATGAATAGAAAGATCCAAAGATCAGCATTTATCTGAAATAAAAAGCTTTTGTAACATTATACACTATTCCATTCAGTATAATTTTTATTATTTTTTTGGGAAAGAAATTATAGAAATTAATACTTTTATTTAGCAAGGATGCTTAAAATTGATCAAAAGTGATGATAAAGGCATTTATAATGTTACAAAAGATTTCTATTTCAGACAAATAGTGTTCATATCGATATCGGAATTATATCGCATCGTGATATAAAATTTGGCCATATCGTCCAGCCCTAGCTTCATGTCTTGTTCAATTCATGCGATAAACGCATGTCCCTGCTGAGCTGTGGACTATGACTTCACGGGCAAAGCAAACAAAACAAGAATCGAAAAAGAATCGATTCTTTGACTCGAATCCTATCGATTCCAGAACCAGAAATTTGAATCGATTCCAAAAAATTTGGAATCGAACAGCCCTATGTACGAGGGATTTCAGGCCTGTAAGAAGGGAATGCAGGTAAGCAGTAAGCAAGTAAATGTCCAGCGCTGCCAGAGGAACCGCTTCAATTAAAGCAGTGCATTAATATCCGTTATTCAAAGTCTAATTTAAACATTAAAACAAATACATTTTTAGGATTTTAAAAAGTTTAAAAAACAATTTACAAAGAAGTGCTTCAGAAATATGTAAGATTCTGCACATAATCAAATACAGATTTTCATCTGAACACTAAAAAATCTGTACTACATAAATACAGCATGCATTTAAAAAAAAGGTGGGGGGCTTACTGGCTCAGTGGTTAACCAGAACAATTATAAATGGCACTTCATGCCCAAAAAGTTGCCGACCCATGACTTAAGTCTTAAAGGGGTCATATGATGTTGCTAAAAAGAACATTATTTTGTGTATTTGGTGTAATGAAATCTGTTTATGCGGTTTAAGGTTCAAAAAACACATTATTTTCCACATACTGTACATTATTGTTTCTCCTCTATGCCCCGCCTTTCTGAAACGCCTCGATTTGTACAAAGCTCATCGGTCTGAAAAGCGAGGTGTGCTGTGATTGGCCAGCTATCCAGTGCGTTGTGATTGGCCGAATGCGTGTTAGAACGAGCCATTTTAGGTAGACGTGGCTGACTCTTAACTTTTATAAAGAATATCTCTTTGGATTTGAGACTTTAGTCTTTGCAACTTTACAGATCTTCTTTATGCACCAAGAGCTTGTAACACTCCAAAGAGAAAGGAACAATTTAAATCGCATCATATGACCCCTTTAAGTAATAACTGAGGCACAATATGGCGCCAGATGCATTTGTATGAATCAAGAGAGCGCGAGTCCACGCCTAAACCAAATATGCGGTCTGAAATTGCTGTGGACGACAGCGGATATGAGGAAATACTTGAATCAAGCGACTGACCAATCAGAATCGAGTTTTCCACAAAGCCGCGTAATAAACACTAATATTAGCGCTTCCGTACCTGAACATGTGTGACAGAGTCAGGGGCGGACCTAACCCTTATTTTGCTTGCTTTCTCTCTCATAGTTTATAGTTTATTTACCCCTTCACAACTTCAGTAAATAATTAGTCAATCTGATGCTGTTCTAAATCTAAAGCCATATTAGGCTACCTTATTTTTTTCGGATCACCAAAGAAGACATTATCAAAACATAAAAAAAAATCTCCAGTCATCGCATTTGTTTGATTGTGAAACATCAAGACAAATAAAATCATGACATTTCTTCACTGAGGTGAATATCTCTGTTCTGAGACAGTGAGACAGGGTTATAAAACCTATAGAAAATGCGCAAAAAGTGCTCCAGAACACCAATATACACTGGAGCGTTCGCCAAATACATTCCACCAATCAGATGGGGCCCCCTGATTCCCCAGGGCCCTAAGCGGCCACTTACCTCACTTATTGGTTAAGTCCACCCCTGGACAGAGTTGAGTGATGTCCAGATGTTGAGTCTGGTTGCTGATGGGATTGTTGAGAACACAGCTGTAGGTGTTTTTATCCTGATATTCCACCTCCAGAGGTAGAGAGAGACTGATGCTGAGATCAGACACACTGATGCTGGACAATAAACTGTTTCCTTTGTACCAGGAGAGAGTCATGTGACCCACATTTACCACTGAACACACCAGTGAACATGATGATGATGAACATTGTGAAGAATTACTGCTAATGACAGGAAAAGGCAGACGAGCTGAAAACATAAGAATTATTTTCTGGTCATTGTGTCAATCTCGAACTATAAAATGATCATTTGAAAGACTGGATGTTCTCTACTCACCATAGACAGAAACTCTGAATGCTTTTGATACCCGTTTTCTTCCAGTTATCGTTAGTTTATAACGTCCAGCATGTTCAATTGTGGTGTTAGTGATGGTCAGAGATCCGGTTTGATTGTCCAGCTTCAGTCTGTCTCTGAATCTCCCGTCAGGACCATCAAATCTGGAGAATCGTCCAGCAGCTCTGATGATTTCAGCTATTAAAGCCATCTCTGTTTCACACTCCCACAGTATGTCGCTGTCACTTACTTCAGTAAGATTAATGTTTAGAGTGACAGAATTTCCCTCAGTCGCTGATATTTCTTCTGCATCACAAACACGCGCAGAAACAGGGTTTGTCACAGATTGAGACTTTTAAATAACTTCATGATAAATTAGCTTCAAATTTAAATTTCACCTTAAAATATAAGCAAGTGAAACAAATATTTAACTCACCATAGAGAGTGAGATAGAAACTTTTGCTCATTGGTCTGGTCTGTAATTCATAACGTCCAGCATGTTCAGTTGTGGTGTTTGTGATGGTCAGAGATCCGGTTTGATTGTCCAGCTTTAGTCTGTCTCTGAATCTCCCATCAAGACCATCATCATATACAGTCATGCTGCCAGTCGTTACGTTGGTATCAACTATCAAATATTTCCCAAACCACCACTGAATCCAATCACCCTGATTTATTTGAGTAAGACGAGTGTTTAGAGTGACAGCTTCTCCTTTAATCACTGACACTGATGCCCGTGCTGTGTAACCAAACACTCCTGAAGAACAGAGTTTGTCATGAAGCTTGACTAAAACACTTCTAACCATTTAAGACTTTTAAAACTGAACGATAACTTTGAGCTTTATATTTAATTGAGTCAATCCCTTACAACTGTACAAAGAGTTGAGTAAAATCACACTCATTTATGTGCATATGAGAATATCAGTGAATGTTAATCCTCTCGGACTAATTTATTAGATGGTACCAGAACCATAAAAACACATTTCAAACTCACCGACCAGACGCCACAAACACAAACAGAACAAAACTAATTTGAGAAACATTCTCTTCATCGGTTCACTGCATAGTGCTGCTTAAAATGGCTGAAAGCATTCTGAAACACGACTGAGCTGTGATATTCATCTGGCTGTGACCTCAGACATAGTTTCCGCTCCCACATCCATCAACAAGCTTTTGCTGATCTTACATTTTTAAATGAATTTGAAAACTTCAGCATGAAAACTAACAGCAGGAGTGTTGGATTAGATACCCATTCATCATCTTTAATGTCAATTTCTTGCATTTAATCAATAAATTCAATTAGGATAACAAGACACTACAGGACTGTTACCAATCAAATGAAATCAGTATCAACGAAATCCATCTTTGCACAGAAAAAACAGAAGCTGCATCTTAAAGGAACAGGTCACCTAAAAATTACAATTAGCTGAAAATGTCCTCATCCTCAGGGCATCCGAGATGTAGATGAGTTTGTTTCTTCATCAGGTTTGTAGAAATGTAGCATTGCATCAGTGTTTCAGCAATGGATGCTCTGCAGTGAATGGGTGCCGTCAGAATGAGAGTCTGATAAAAACATCACAATAATCCACAAGTAATCCAGTCCATCAGTTAACATCTGGAGAAGACAAAAGCTGAAACTAATCCAGCATTAAGACATTTCTAACTAAAATACCATAGAGTCCATAATCCATAATAACGCTTCCTCCAGTGAAAACGTGTTCTGGTCTGAATCAGGAGAGAAATCTGCACAGATCAAGCAGCGTTTAAACAGCTCTAAACAAATATGTGGCTGGATTTTGATGTGAGAGACAACAGGAGATGCACTTTTTCACTGGAGGAAGCGTTATTATGGATTATGGACTCGTGTTTTAGCTGGAAGCAACGGTTTACAGTTAAAAACATCTCAAAAATAAACATTTAAGCAAATTTTCATTTTTGGGTGAACTTTTACTTTAATGAATGAGTCATTGAATCATTCATTAAACCAATTCAGAAACGAATGAGTCATTGACTCACCCGATTCTTTCGAAAATGCGGCTTTATTCAGTACCAAGTGTCGCACTGAGAGATCAGCGGTTCTTCTGTGGATTTGTTTGGAACAGTTTGTTGAGAAATAGAGCACAAACTCGATGTTAACTGTTGTATGAAATCAAAATAACATTTGCAAACGTGCTGATATTTGTGAAAAACAGCACTCTTGCTCATGTGATATTGCTTAACTATGTTATATGAGGAAAATATAAAACATATGAAAAGTCAAACAGACTTTTTCCTTCACATCTTGAATATCGGGGTCATTCTAACAGACTAAATCAAGCAGTGAACGTGTGCACTCTTAATGCACCCATGCACTAGTTTATCACACTAAACTACTGTTCATTCTGTGTGTATAAGTTAAAGTTAATGTAAAAGTTAATGAAAACATACAGTAACCAGTAAATGTGATTGTTCGTTTGGATAAATTTGCATTTGATTAACTGCGAGATTTGGTGTTGGGAAAATTTGATGAGAAATGCTTTAGTTTAGTGGCTTTTGATTGTAGACTTTAGTATTTTGGCAAATCTGAGCAAAGTAACTCTTTTGAAACTCTAATTGAAGCACATGTGAGGTTACATTAGTCTTTTCTTCTGGAGAGAGAAGTGTAGTGACCTGGATCAGTGTTTTCTGAAAGTAACGTAAGTGGTGCCTTTGCTTCGGGGCTTCAAGCAATACTGTTAATAACCGTTTGAAGGATTTAAAAAAAAAAAAAAAACTTCAATTAACATGACATGAATTAACATTCCACACAACATTAATTATGTCAAACATGAACAATGTAGAGAACCAAAGGACAACACAGAACCAATAAAGACGTCAGGAAGAGCAGCAGACATGACAAAACAACTAAACAAAACATGCAAATAAAAGACAAAACCTTCACAGCATCATGAATCTATACGTGATGTTTCATGTGCTAAAGGTTCATTGCGTGAATATAATCATATCTGGCAGTAAACTACTGTACATATATACACTACCAGTCAAAAGTTTTTAATCAGTAAGATTTTGAATGTTTCTGCTCACCAAGCCTGCATTTATTTGATCCAAAATACAGCAAAAACAGCAATATTGTGAAATATTTTTGCTATTTAAAATAACTGCTTTCTATGTGAATATCTGTTAAACTGTAATGTATTTCTGTGATCAAAGCTGTATTTTCAGCATCATTACTCCAGTCTTCAGTGTCACATGATCTTCAGAAATCATTCTAATATGCTGATTTGCTGCTCTATAAACATTTATTATAATTAATATTTAAAACAGTACATTTGTTTTCAGGATTCTTTGATTAACAGAACGATTCAAAGAAATTATAGAAATTAATACTTTTATTTAGCAAGGATGCTTTAAATTGATCAAAAGTGATGATAAAGACATTTATAATGTTACAAAAGATTTCTATTTCAGATCAATGCTGTTCTTCTGAACTTTCTATTCATCAAAGAAACCTGAAAAAATTCTACTCCGCTGTTTTCAGCATAATAATAATAATAAATTTTTCATGAGCAGCAAATCAGAATATTAGAATGATTTCTGAAGATCATGTGACACTGAAGACTGGAGTAATGATGCTGAAAATTCAGCGTTGAAATCACAGTAATAAATTACAGTTTAACAGATATTCACATAGAAAGCAGTTATTTTAAATAGTAAAAATATTTCACAATATTACTGCTTTTGCTGTATTTCGGATCAAATAAATGCAGCCTGTTCAAAAACTTTTGACTGGTCGTGTAATTTAACATAAGAAAATGTATAAAGAACTATATATGTCGCCGTCTTTTTCTATGTATTGATGGTTTGGATTCGAAATGTTGAATTAAAATAATGGATAACAGCAATAAAGTACTTTGAAATGGAAGAGAAACTGAACAGCGCCTCCTGCTGGTGCGGAACGGAATGGAACCAAGCCCAGACACCATCTACTTTCACTCGTAAAACACTCCTCTGATTCAGCTTATACACGTCATTTATTGATTTAGTGTCTTAAAATAACTCTGAGGTACCTGTACACCAGCGATAGTTCAGATCTAATCACATTCGATTTAAATCGCGTTCTGATCAGTCCCGCGTGTAAATGTGCCGCGGCCCCTTTAAGCGCGACTCCATTTTTCGGCGAAATTTTTTATCAAAAGTTCCTGAAAAACTTGAAGGGTCCGAATACACTCCGACTTTATTAACGAGACTCCGAAATCCGGATTAAGGGAGGAACTTCAGCAGTCATCCGGCTGATATTAAACACCGAAACTACCTACCATTAGGCTGTTATTGTTATTAATTATCATCATCTTTTCATCAGCATCTGAGTTTGGCTCAAACCGGATCAGACATGACGAGTGACTCCAGAACAACGAAACTGTCTATAACAGCATTCAACACTGTATAACAGCTAGTTCTGCTCAACTAGCCTACATACATACACGCATATGATATATATCCAATGCTGTTACACATAAGAAGCAATAGTGCAATAATGCACACAGCATTAGACTGTAATACACGATTCCTCACTGTTTTTTGATACTATCGACTCAAGTTCATCTGCGAATCTGTAATTGGTGTTTTCATTGTTTGGCACTTTTGCATGACTGGATTCATTTCTTAAAGAAGCAGTTTAAAAAATATATATATATTTTTTTTACTTAATTCGCGGTTATATCAGATCAGAGCTGAACTCCGATCAGGTGAATGTTTAACCAGGTCAAAGTTCTCGGTTTAACAGAGTTGAAAGTCCGCGTGAAAAAAAAGTTCTTCTTATTACGTAATTATTGTGGTGTCTGTGTCTGTAAATGCGCTGAACGTAATGCATACTCCATTCTGTTTGCATACTACAATATCAAAGTATGCTATGAAAAAAAATCGCATTTTTAATATTTTGTCTGTTTATTTATTTATTTATTAATCGGTTTTTATTTTTTGTAATCTTTTTTCTTTATAATGCACTTTTTATTTTTTTTTATTTTTTGCTTTACAACTCAGTTCATTTTAGAAAACCCTACAGACTGCAGAAGTAGTATGCTAGCATGCCATTCGGAACGTATTTGATCTTTTCGTAAGTTCGATCAAATCGTGAGTCAAGAAATATGATTAAATAATCAGTTAATTTGCTGAGCACGTTGCATTGTGGGATACATTATCCCCCACTGGACATTTTGTCAAAATTACAAATAGATCATTTGCGTAATTAGTTTTAATTAGGGCCCAAGCCACTAAGGCGCAGGGGCCTATTGATTTCCTAAGGATTATTTTATTTATTTATTTTTTTTTTTCTTCGACTATCCAGGGCTTTTTGGAGGCCTTAACATGCTCAAAAACTCTTGAAAATTGGCACACACGTTGGAACCTGCGGTCATTAGGACGCCGCAGAGACTGGGACCCGGGCGTGGAAACCTCTCACTTTAGAAACCCCTGCATACTGCAGAAACAGTATGCTAGCATGCCATTGGGAACACTCTCTCTCAGTGATGTCATTCTTGCTGCATGGTTGCTGCAGCAACACATCAAAATGAGGCTGAGCTGTTGTGGGGGAATCCTAAGCCCCTCCCCTCTGCTGATGTATGATAGGAGTGGCTCCGCCTCCCCAAGCCCCGCCCCCATGCATATCTTCCTGCTCTGATAAGAGAGTCTCCTAGCGCTCTCTCGTCCCGTCTCTCTCTCTCTCTCCATCCGTCTCTGCAGACAGACAGTCGGCAGCATGTCGGACTCCAGTGCAGCACCGGCGCAGAGCAAAAGCAAAGCTAAACCCTGCAAGAGAGGCAGTTTACCCAGCCGGACCAGCCCGGGTGAGTGCCGCCGCAGCGAGGAGCCAGAAGGGCTGAGAGATAGACGGGGTGGGGTGTGATAGGGGACCATATCTTCAAGCAGTTCAGGCCAGTTTGGAGTTTGTTTTCTTTTTGAGTGCTTTTTTACTCCGCAAAATGGATGCCATATTAAAATAAATATTAAAAAATAGTTATTAAATATGATTTTGTTATTTAAATATATTTTAACAGTTTTTATTAAATTATTTTTAAATGATTTTAAATGTATTTACTAATCTCCGTTGCACTGGTCAAACACATGTGAGGTGAATTAGTAATGGTCCGTGTTTCAGTCTGATCTCAGAACAGAAACGACCAACTTTCATCATTCATCAATATATTAATGAAAAGTGCAGGAATGTGGGATTGTGGGAAAGTGTTGGTCCAGGCGTGAGAGCTCATGCATTACACAGGAGCTTGTGCGTCCGGTTTTACCTGAGCCTGCAACCTTCTGGTTTATCTGAAAGAGACGAGAACGCAACGATTACAAGAAAATTCAGTTAAGTGCACAACATTATATGAGTCTAGGATATGTCTTAGTGAATGATTGCACAGGAGAAAAAAAAAGAAAAAAAAATGTAGAGAGAAAAAAGTGTAAACTAATGAAGAGAAAATGAGTGAGAAACATAATATTTTAAGCTTAACATTTTGACAGTCCAAAACACAGATGAATATCTATTTGCAACCATTTAGATTGAAAAACAACCTTACATTTAAAAATAACATCATAAATACTAGTAATATTACTAAAAATAATACATGCATACTAATATAATTATAAATAAATAATTATATTATATATAATAAATACATACTAATGTAATTATAATTACAACTTCTAATTAAAAAAAAAAAAAATATATATATATATATATATTTAAGTAATGCGTACAATATGCATTGAATTGGACGAATAAACTTTGTTAGCGAGTAATTGTGTAGGATAGAACTATTTTCCTGCACATCTGGACACACCTGTATTTTTCAGGCTGGTGTGTGTTCTGGAGTAAACAGACACGCGATTGGCTTGTTCAACTGAGAGGCGGGGCTACAGCTGCCTTACTGAGCGCTTCATTTCTCTCCTTTCCTCCTTGAATAAAATGTTACATAATGAGGTCACATGACTACAGTGAAGCGCACTACTTGTGCACAAGTACACACTACAGAGTATGTACTGCACAGTACGCTAGTGCTGCATTGGGACGCAGCCACACACACACACACAGAGGTGTGTTCATGCTGGTTTTCCCAGGATTCCACTGGAAACACAGTAGGGTTTAAACACACAGTGGTGCGTCCCGCCACCACCCACCCCTCCCCCCCATCTGCAACGTGGTACGAGCCAAACACGAGTGAACCCGAGCGTCCCGACACACACTGCGAGAGAATCGTCGAATCATCATATATTTCTGTATATTTCTTCATATATTTCGATATTTGAAGAACATTGTATGGACATTGTTTTTGACTTTCTTTTTATTGACAAAACCCCCAGATGTTTTTCGAATGTTTTTTAAGTGGTTTATCATCAATATATTACTTGTACTACCAATTATATTATTGTTTTCGGACTCATCTTAGATTTACCCGTTTCTAGTGCACTGAAGTGTGAGTGTGCAGCATCTGTTAGTGACACTGATGAATGAGTGTCGTCTGCACATGAGCGCTGTGCTTTAATAATGAGAATCAGATGCTCCAGCTCGTACTGTATGTGATGGTTTCCACACTGAATGCTGCACTGCTGTCTTGAACGACTCTGACAAAAACCAGCCAGTTAGTCGGTCAGTTTTTCCTGCTAAATGTTGTTAAGTAGATACTAAAGCATTGCTAGGGTGTTGTTCCTGGTTGCTGTGTGGTTGCTTAGGTGTTCTAGATTATTTATAGTGTGTTACTAGGTTACTAGGGCATCGCTAGGGCGTTGTGGATGGTTGCTATGTGTTTTTTCCTTCCTGTATGGTGTGAATTGTCTTAGTGATCCTCTGGTCTTTAGTCTGACTCTGGTCCCTCCTTCAGTGTGTGGAGTTCTTTTTAAATTTTATCTTCCAGCAGGTGAAAATCATGAGAGAACACACAACTAAGAGCGCCTGTACCAGTGACTGACTTTAACAGCACTATTATTAGCATCTTTAGTAACCGTCTGTGTGTGTGTGTGTGTGTGTGTGTGGATCTGTTTGGCTCTGCTGACGTGAGGCCTTTGATGTCCCAGCGCTCTCTGCCCGGCACACCAGTCACCCACAAACACCTGCCCATCGACCTGCGCACATCCATGGACGGCAAATACAAGGAGATCGCGGAGGTGTGTGTTTGTTTCTAACGTGTGTGATTGTAATGCGTGTGGTTGTAACGTGTGTATAATTGTAACGCACGTGTGTTTGTAACACGCATGTGATTGTAATGCATGTGTGTGTAACATGTATGATTGTAACGCATGTAACACGTGTGTTTGTAATGTGTGTGTAACATATGATTGTACCGTGTGTGTGTGTAATGTGTGATTGTAACAAGTGTTTGTAACACGTGTGTGATTGTAGCGTATGATTGTAATGTATGTGGTTGTAACACGTGTGTGATTGTAATGCATGTGTGTGTATGATTGTAATGCGCTTTTGTAACGTGTGTTTGTAACACGCATGTGATTGTAACGCATGTGTGGCTGTAATGCATGTGTGTGTTTGTAATGTGTGTGTAACGTGTATGATTGTAACGTGTGTAACACGTGTGTTTGTAGCGTGTGTGTAACGTGTGTGATTGTAACGCGTGTTTGTAACACGTGTGATTGTAACGTATGATTGTAATGTGTGTGTTTGTAACACGTGTGATTGTAATGCATGTGTGTGTATGATTGTAACGCTCTTTTTTAACGTGTGTGTTTGTAACATGCATGTGTGATTGTAACGAATGTGTGGCTGTAATGCATGTGTGTGTAACGTATGATTGTAACGTGTGTGTGTAACACGTGTGTGATTGTAAACCATGTTTGTAACACGTGTGTGATTGTAACGTATGATTGTAACGTGTGTGTTTGTAAAACATATTTGTAACACGTGTGTGATTGTAATGTAAGATTGTAACGTGTGTGTTTGTAACACGTGTGTCATTGTAATGCATGTGTGTGTATGATTGTAACGCGCTTTTGTAACGTGTGTGTTTGTAACGTGTGTGTGATTGTAGCACGCATGTGTGTTTGCTCTTCAGCATGAGTGTTTGTAACATGTATGTGTGTGTAACGTATGTGTAGGAGCTGCTGGCAAGGAGTCTGATGGACAGCGACATGCGTTGCGCTCCGTACGAGTTTCCTGAAGAGAGTCCCATTGAACAGCTGGAGGAGAAACGCCACCGTCTGGAGCGACAGATCAGTCAGGACGTCAAGTACAACCCGCACACACACATCCTAACTGTGTGTAATGCAACTAATTTTTCTGCACACACTGAAAGCCAATCAGTATATATTTCATGTTTAAGGTTCATTACGTGGAATTGTAATTTTTTAATAGAATATTAAAAACAAGCACATAAAAAAAAACAAAAACTAAGTAAAATAAAAAATAAAATGGGAATATTGTTAATCTTAAAGATATTTATTAATAATATTGGTAATATTATTTATTATTAATAATAAGATACTTCTAATATATTTATTAAGCTATTTTATATAATTTGTTAAATAAACTTATAAATACAGCAACTTTCCCTTCCAACTGTGATCCTAAAGGTCTTTGACCGAGTTGTTAGACTGATTTTTTTTAAGCATATTTCAGAGTATTTTAAGTCTTTTAATCAAGCAAATTATGTTTTGAGAACCGTTAAAGTTTCTGAAAGTCAAAAAATCATTTGTTTGTGAAAACTTGGCCTAGAGTCTATTATAACGGCTTCGCACCTGCTCAGGCGTTTTGTTTGCGATCTGTGTGAATTCTTTGCTTTGAACACACTGACCCAAGATACCAACAAACACCGCAGACATTCATAATCGCACACAGACACAACAAGCCACAGTTTGGCCGCTTTTCAGGCATTTGTGTGGGTGTGTTTGGGTTCGTGTCTCTTACAGATGCTTAAACACACACTCTTTCTGCTCGGGTGGAGAGTTTGAGATTCCTTCTGCTGCATTTTAAATGAAAGTGATTTAGAAAAATCAATGCGAGTGATTTGTACTCTCTCATCTCGAGTGTGTGTGTGTGTGTGTGTGTGTGTTACTCACTCAAATCTGCCGCTTCGCCTCACATCCTTCAAGGCTTGAGCCCGAGATTCTGCTGCGAGCGAAACAAGACTTCATGAAAATAGACAGCGCAGCAGACCTGGAGTGAGTCACTGCTATCTGTCCATCTGTCTGTCTGTCCCTCCGTCTGCATCTCTCAGCTCATGTGTCCGTCTGCAGGAGTCTGAAGGACAGTCATGTGGACGTGGTGGACCAGCACCATATGGAGCAAGAGCCGCTGATGGAGAAAAACTTCCAGCGCGTGTCCATCTCAGGAGACGAGAAGTGTGGGGTGAGAACCAGAGAAACCAGCTTCAGTTAGTTTGCATGAAAAATGACAATAAAACAGAGATATAACGTTTACAGCACTTATTAATCTGGGTTGTGCACCTTTGTATGTGTGCTAATACATTTTAACAAGTGCAAATTAACCTCAGGTAGTATTTTTGTAGCACTTTTCACAATGTTAATAATACTAAAAAGCAACCTACAGAATAAAAACGCAGAATATTTTAACTTACTGCAACAAAATTCTTGCTAGGTGTGAATCTTCCATTTTCATTTTGAAGAAGAATTAAAAGAAATTGAAGAAATTTCAGTATCACTTAAGAAAACCTTGAATCCTTCAATGAGGTGATAAATCAATAATTCATTTGAAAACATTTTCAAAAAAATTTAAAAATCAAGTAAGCAATCAATTATTAACACGTGAATAAATATTTGATAAAAATCAGTTTAGTCTTTGTTTTTTAGTTAAAAATATTAAAATGTATTTTCCTTCTTTGAAATATAGCTGAAGTAGAAATATTAGATGAAAAACTTAAACTGCAATTCAAAATGAAATTTAGCTAATATAGAAATTAATAATAAAACTAAACAAATCTGTATTAGCATGATTTTATAATCTAACTTCTTTAAGTTTTGTTCTCTAAAAATTCTTAATATTAAGTTTTCTGTTTTTCTCTAAGTTCTCTAAGCTTTGTTCTTTAAAAAATCTTGATATTAAGTTTTGTTCTTTAAAAATGTGTTAATGTTAAGCTTTCTCTATGTTTTTTATACATTCTCTAAGTTTTGTTCTTTCAAAATTCTTAATATTAATTTTTCTCAGCTTTTTCTAAGTTCTGTAAGATTTTTTCTTTAAATATTTTTAGTTTTATTTTTTCCTCTAAGTTCTCTAAGCTTTGTTCTTTAAAAAAATCTTGATATTAAGTTTTCTCTTAAGTTTTCTACATTCTCTGTTTTGTTCTTTAAGCAGTTCTTAATATTAAGTTTTATCTACGTTTTTTTTTCTCTAAGTTCTCTAAGTTTTGTTATTTAAAAAAATCTTGATATTAAGTTTTCTCTAAGTTCTAAGTTTTGCTCTTTAATTTTTTTTATATTAATTAGGTTTTCTCTAAGTTTTCTAAGTTTTGTTGTTTAAGAAATAGTTAATTTTAAGTTTTCTCTAAGTTTTTTTCTACATTATGTTTTGTTCATAATTTTTTTTTATATTAATTAGGTTTCCTCTATGTTCTCTAAGTTTTGTTGTTTAAAAGTTTCTACATTCTCTGTTTTGTTCTTTAAGCAGTTCCTAAAATCAAGTTTTCTCTAAGTTCTAAGTTTTGCTCTTTTTTTTATATATTAATTAGGTTTTCTCTAAGTTCTTCAAGATTTTTTCTTTAAACATTTGTTGTTTCTTTTAATTTTTGTAAGTTTTCTGCTTTAAAAAATTCTTAACATCAAGTTAAGTTTTTCTCTAAGTTCTTTAAATATTCTCAGTATTAATTTTTTCTCTAAGCTTTGTTCTTTAAAAATTCTTAATATTAAGTTTTCTAAGTTCTCCAAGTTTTGTTCTTTAAAAAAATCTTGATATTAAGTTTTCTCTAAGTTTGGTTGTTTAAAAATTTGTTAATTTTAAGATTTCTCTAAGGTTTTTCTACATTCTCTATGTTTTGTTCTTTAATTTTTTAATATTAATTAGGTTTCCTCTAAGTTTTGTTGTTTAAAAATTTCTACATTCTCTATGTTTTGTTCTTTAAGCAGTTCCTACAATTAAGTTTTCTCTAAGTTCTAAGTTTTGCTCTTTTTTTTATTTTATTTTTTTAAGGTTTTCTCTAAGTTTTCTAAGTTTTGTTGTTTAAGAAATAGTTAATTTTAAGTTTTCTCTAAGTTTTTTTCTACATTATGTTTTGTTCATAATTTTTTTTTATATTAATTAGGTTTCCTCTATGTTCTCTAAGTTTTGTTGTTTAAAAGTTTCTACATTCTCTGTTTTGTTCTTTAAGCAGTTCCTAAAATCAAGTTTTCTCTAAGTTCTAAGTTTTGCTCTTTTTTTTATATATTAATTAGGTTTTCTCTAAGTTCTTCAAGATTTTTTCTTTAAACATTTGTTGTTTCTTTTAATTTTTGTAAGTTTTCTGCTTTAAAAAATTCTTAACATCAAGTTAAGTTTTTCTCTAAGTTCTTTAAATATTCTCAGTATTAATTTTTTCGCTAAGTTTTGTTCTTTAAAAATTCTTAATATTAATTGTTTTCTCCAAGTTCTCAAATTTAAGTTGTTTTTAGCATGTTTAGATATTTTTACTGTAAAACAGGACAAATACACTGATTCACTGATGTTGACTGATTCTAGAGGGATTCTTGTGGTGTTTGTGTGTTCAGGTGCCGTTCACGGATCTGGTGGACGCAGCGAAGTGTGTTGTGAAGGCCTTGTTCATCAGAGAGAAGTACATGGCTGTGTCTCTGCAGACCTTCTGTAAAACCACGGCACGATCCCTGCAGGAGCTCAGCCAGAGACTGCCGGACATCGACGCGCTCGAGAACCTTCACGACAGTCCCGTCGACTCAGGTGTGTGTGAGCACCTCGACATGCTACAGAACCCAGCACAAGCCAGCTCTGACCTGTGTGTGTGTGTGTGTGTGTGTGTCTCAGACATGTCCGTTCACCCGCCGGTGTCAGAAACACATCCGTACGAGGGCCAGGACATGAAGAACCTGCCGCCAGACTCCGGATACAGCTGCAGGATGGTGGATGGAGTCATTCACGTCTACACCGCACAAAACCCCACGGACGAGTGAGTTTCGAGGACAAACCGACTGCAAACGTCCTCTAAATTAGCTCAATTTAGCTAAACCTCCTTTTGGGGACGTCCTTGAAAGGGAAAATAGATCTTGAAGACACATGAGCCTGTTTCAAACCCTCGAATAGCCTTAACAGCAATGCACTGAAAAAAAAAACTGGTGTAGAAACAGTTTTCACTCTGAAAACGAAATGTTGAAGATGAAAGACTGAAATAGTTTTTTTTTGTAAAACATGCTCTAATAATTGTATTTTATTAACAACTTTGAATCAAATCATTGTAGAAGCTAACAAGTAAACAAACAATAAAAAAAAAATATATATATATATGTATATGTATAAAATTGTATTTATATATAGACATATATATGTATTTTAATAAATAAAAAAGCTTCATTGCACACAATGCAGTGCATTTTGGGATTGTCAAACAGGATGCTGAATTTCAATTCAAATTTGAATTCTAACAAAGTAGAATCAGTGTTATTATTTTTAACTAAAACTATTTAAAAAACACAGTTATGTTAATTGTAAAAAAAGAGAATATAAAAACACTTATTTTATTCTTTGCAGGGTTATTATTGTTAACTATAACTACAACCATTTAAAAAAAAATTTGTGTTACTTATTAAAATAAACATTAACTGAAACAAAATAAAATAACAACTTAAAATTAAACTAATTTTATTTCAGCTAGTTTGTTGCTAGGGCACATTTCTAATTTTCAATTAGCTTAAGTTCTAAAATAACGAAAACAATTAAAATAATAAAAACTAAATAGGCATATTTAATAAAAATATTCAAAAACACACAACAAAATTACTAAAACTTACTTTAAAATGAAAATAATACAGAAAATATAAGCAATCAATGATCAACATGTCAATAAATATATAAAAGATGCAATTTGACAATAGAAGGTAATAAACAAATTTGAAAATACAAGTTAAATTTGGCTAATATTAAAAATTAATAAAAAGAAATCGTAATCTTCAAACAATGACATCATTAACTACGTATAAAAATATTTAGAAAATGTAACTTAATAAAATAAACATTAACCGAAATTAAATTTGTACAGAAATTAAACTGCTTTATTTCAGCTAGTTTGTAGCCAGGACACATTTCTTATTTGTGTTTAGTTTAAGTACTCAAATAAAAAGTAAATAGGCATACTAAAAAAAAATAAAAACAACATAATTACTAAAATGTTAACTAAAATTAAAATGAATACAAAAATTATAAAAATAAAAAACAAATTCAAAATATTATATATTAATATATACTAAAATAGTACAATTTAAATTAACTGATATTCAAAGAAATTCAATCTAGAAAATCAAACAAATAAATATATAAATGTGAATAAATAGTTAAATGATTATGTAATTTGACAACAAAAATAATCAATAAAACACAAAACTGAAAATACTACTGATAGTATAATAATAATGCTAATCTTCAAACAACAAAAAGTGTCTTCATGACAGGAGCGTGTGCATATATGATGCCTAAAAACACTCACTATGTAGGCGGCACACTAGGGCTGAAACAGGGTTTGCTTTATAGTTTGTGTCAGTCTTCAGCACTTGAATACAGCTTGAACAGAACAGCAGGACGTCTGTCGTTTAAGTAAACGTTAGTGAATCGTCCGCAGGAGCACCGAGCTGGACCTGCCGTATCCAGACCTGCAGGAATACATCGCCGACATGACCCTGATGATGGCGCTCATCATTAACGGCCCCGTGTGAGTGCCTCGTTTCCCAGCATGCACTGGGCTCGGCGCACAGCTGTGAGTTCTGCCACGTCTGATGTGTGTGTTTCTCTACAGAAAGTCGTTCTGTTACCGGCGGCTGCAGTATCTGAGCTCTAAGTTTCAGATGCACGTCCTGCTGAACGAGATGAAGGAGCTCGCCGCACAGAAGAAGGTGCCACACAGAGACTTCTACAACATACGCAAGGTGAAATATAAATTAATGCATCATTCAATCATCAGTATGTACATACATAAATAAGCCAAATGGAAGTACAACATCAATATGTGACCCTGGAGCACAAAATCAGTGTTAAGTCGCTGGGGTATATTTGTAGCAATAGCCAAAAATACATTGTATGGGTCAAAATTATAGATTTTTCTTTTATGCCAAAAATCATTAGGACATTAAGTAAAGATCATGTTCCATGAAGATATTTTGTAAATTTCCTACCGTAAATATATCAAAACTTAATGTTTGATTAGTAATATGCATTGCTAAGAACTTCATTTGAACAACTTTAAAGATGATTTTCTCAATATTTAGATTTTTTTGCACCCTCAGATTCCAGATTTTCAGATGATGCATAAATCTCAATTTTGAAAATTTACACTTAAGACTGGTTTTGTGGTCCAGGGTCAAATATAGAGTTATAGAATATTAAATCTAAGGTAATATAAATTGAATTTACTAGTATAGTAATAATTATACAAATGAAAATATCTGTATTAAATATTTATAATAAATAAATATAATTCTAAATATATGTAATAAACATATGCAATGTATATAATAAGTATATAAATAATATAATACTACTAATAATGAACAGTATTAGAATATTACAATTCATAATATTTGAATATTAATGTACAGCATTAGAATATAGAAACATACACGCTATTAAAATGATTATTGAAAATGAAAAATAATATAACAAATTTAAATACTTTTACTGTATGATAAAAAGTATAATAATATAATTCAAATTTTTTTTAAATAAAATATATTTTTAAAAGTTTTATAGGAAATATAGAACAATATTTTTATATTATAGAAAAATATGTAATGATTATATATTATAATATTAATATAATGTATGGCAGTGCAATATTAAAAGATATAGAATAATAGAATGACTATTATAGAAACTATAAAATTAAATTACTAATATAGAAATTATTATCAAAATGAAAATTGCTTTACTGTATAAATAAATAAATATATATATATATATATATAATTATATTTATTTAAAACAAATTTTTTTTAGAAAAATATACAATATATATATATATATTATATCAAATATCTTTATCTTAAATTTAACAATATTTATAATATTATATCATATTTTACATATAATGTACAATATTGTATACATATTAATAAGTACACAATATTTTAATAAATACATTTTCAATTTGTCTATTGACTTTTCTTTTAAGCAAATTAAATTCAAATTACAACTATAAACAAGCAACAATTACAAAAGATTTTAAAAAGCCAATTCATAAATTCAAAATGTTGCACCAAAGAGATTCTCGACGAGAAAAACAACGCGGAAAAGTGCAACAACTAGATCTCGCTCGAAATAAACTGCTGTCAAAACCGATTGGTGTTTCATAGAGCCTCGTTTGTGAAACGCCAGCAGAATGAATTAGCATGTGAACTGTCTTCAGGTGGACACACACATCCACGCCTCGTCCTGCATGAACCAGAAGCACCTGCTGCGCTTCATCAAGCGCGCGATGAAGAAATATCCAGACGAGATCGTGCACATGGAGGGCGGCCGCGGACAGACGCTGATGGAGGTGTTCGAGAACATGAACCTGACGGCGTACGACCTGAGCGTGGACACACTGGACATGCACGCGGTGAGAGTCTCGTGCACGCTAAACTATTCTTTGAAACAATAGGGGGCGACGAGGAGTAATTGTCCTCTAAAACCATCGATTCACCGGTGAGAGGAAGTCATTTGCCGGTACAAGATTTCTCGCGTGATGAATGAGTTGATGAATTAATAATTTCTTTATGTACAAACTGATTAAAATAATCTTAAGCTTTTGTGTTTATTTCGCATCAAAACCAAGACAACTTTAAGCAAATAGTGTATAAATAGTATCTAAATGAATTCTATTTCTATTTTTATACAATAAAAATAAAACGTACTTCAATTAAAAAGCCTTGGACAAACTCTACATTGTTTTCCCTCAAAGCGTTGAAAGTTGCACCTGGTGGAGTTTGAACTTAACATCAACTGCTTCTGTTTCACACAAATGCCGGCACAGACGTGCATGTTCGGCTAGAGTCGCTTTGAACTCGTGCATCTTCGGAAGCGGAGCTGCGCGGAAAGTTACAAAAAACGTCGTGCACACCGCCACGCGAAACGACGTTGTAGAGATTCGTTTGGAGCCAGAGTCTGCGCAGTAGAGATTCGTTAATAGGAGACGCGTCGTCCATCTTTTTTTACAGTCTATGGTGCCGCTGGCAACACTACAACGCCACTGCTTTGGGGCGTGTCAAATCAAATCTTTTTCCTTTCACAGCGATCGGTTGTCGCCCAGCGTTTTTCGCTCGACATTTGCATGAAGTCGAGGAATGCCCAATCTTTTTGACGCTCTCAGCCACTGTCAACGCTTTCTCCGCGCCGCTTTCAATCCCATAATACACCGCGCGAGCGTTTAAGCTCAACTTCCATAGGAATGAATTGAAAACGCTCGCTCCGCTGCGCTCGCTACATGCCAGTGGAAACGCACCGTAAATCAGCCTTAACACGCTAACACAGCGAGTCACGTGACACCTGCCGCTTCCTCCGCAGGACAGGAACACCTTCCACCGCTTCGACAAATTCAACTCCAAATACAACCCCATCGGAGAGTCCATCCTCAGAGAGATCTTCATCAAGACCGACAACCACCTCCACGGGAAGTACTTCGGACACATCGTCAAGGTACAGACGACAGGAATGCAATTCATGACATACTTACAATTACTGGAATATCAATGTATCACATGTGTGTATAAAACATGTAATATATGCATTTCTATAAACACATTCAAAAATACATTCATTATGTGTTTAACCTTAAAAAATTAATTCATTTAGTGCATTATAAATATTTAAAATAATGAAATGTCAATTAATAAATCATGAGATCAAATGAGAAATAGATTGAGTATGTGAATAAATTGATTAAATAATAAGTAAATTTTATTATCATATATAGAATATATATATATATATATATATATATATATATATATATATATATATATACAGTATATAACAAATTAAATAAAACTGAATATGCTAGTAATGCCCAGAATTATCCGAATTAAAATATTTATTTATAAATATGTGATGTATAATAAATATAAATATTAATACTATAATAATGTACAGTATTGGAATATTAACATACAGAATATTAGAATACGATAATTAAAAAATTATAATATAGAAATAATTACGAAAACAAAAAGTGTTACTGTATAATATTATAAATATAACATTATTGTACAATATATATAATATTTATTTCTATATGCATGTTTAAAAACACGTGTAATATGTTTAAAGTTTTAGAAATTAATTCATTTAATGCATTTAACACAACACAATATTTTTTTAATTAAATTAAAATTAATTAATTAAAAACATTTTAAAGACATAATTTTGCTTCCTTTTCTAAATCTATGTTTTGCATTTTATTAAAATTAATTAAAGTAAAAAAAAAAAACAATACAAATATTATATTTAAACTGACTTTTTATATATTTTTTCCTTGCATAATGCAGTTTTAAGGAGACATAATGATATCCAAAACTGTTTTATTAATCAAGTTTTAAAATTAATTTCTAATATTAAAGTAAATTGCTACATGATGAAAGGAATTGATATATTTAAATAAAAATTAAATTAATAAAACAATAATATGTTTATATTGTTTATTTATTAATTTAATCTCATAACTTTATGCATTATCTTTGTCTGGCCTACTTCAAATGAATAACTCTTCAATAAAACCAAAACAGGTGCTGAATGTGCTGCGGTGTGTTTCCTGTGTGCGCAGGAAGTGATGTCAGACCTGGAGGAGAGTAAGTATCAGAACGCTGAGCTGCGTCTGTCCGTTTACGGCCGATCCATGGATGAGTGGGACAAACTAGCGCTGTGGGCCGTCTCTCACTCCATCTACTCCGACAACGTGCGCTGGCTCGTGCAGATCCCACGACTCTTGTGAGAGACACAACAAAGCATGTGCTGAATAAGTATTATCACTCCAAATTATTTGTAATTGGGAAAAAAGTTACAATTGGCTCCTGTTACAATAGTCACCAGTGTGAAACTGTGAAGGCCGGTTTCATGGTCACCTCAGAAACAGGAAGTGATGAATGACTGTAGAATTTTCCAGTCTCTTTTGGGAATGTGCTGTAATTCCACTCAGTGTGTAAATAGAGCTCATTCCTTTTGGCAGAGCAAAATATTGTTTGTGTGTGTGTGTGTGTGTGTGTGCACGTCTATACTTTATTTTAGAATTTATTTGGAATGTTTCCACGTTGAACATCATTGTCTTTAGTTTACACAGTTCAGGCTGTCCTTGTTTGTGTTCCCAGTCTACGATGTGTCTCTCTCTCTCACACATACACACACACACACACACAAACAGTCTTTCTCTTTCTGTTCTTTAGTTGTCTTGACACACACTCAAAGCATCTAGAATGTGAGTCCTACAGCAACGGAATACTAAAGACATGAAGAAAGAAAAGAAGACAAAACAGGCAGAACTGAGGAGGAATGCACATTATACTTTCCCAAAACTATAGTCACTTTCTTTCTGATTTGTTCTGACATTTCAAGATATCGAATCTGAAGTTTGTTTCTTTAAATATTTTGTATTACCATTATCTTTCTTCGTTTCAAATGATGTTTAGTAGTGCTGAAGTTCGTATACTGTACCCTGAAGCACATTCCTCTTTGTTTCAAAATCCTGGTTTCTCCATAGTGGTGGATGTTTTGAACTCACAGGAAGGAGTTTTTATCTTCATGTTTTTATTTGCGCACCTTACACATAAGGTTGCAAAAAGGTGGAAAATGTCCAGTAAATTTTGGAAATATTCCAGAAATTTTGGAAACTTTCCAGAATTTTTTGGAATATTCCAGGGATTTTTGGAAATTTACCGGAAATTTTCCACCCCTTTTGCAACACTAGTCAGACTTTTTAATTAAAACTACAACCATAAAATATATTTTCGTTACTTGAAATAAAATAAAATACATAAATATTTCAGCTAGCTGCCAAGCAGTGTTATTTTAGTATTATTTACATATAATTATTGTTTTTATTAACATTTTTAATTAGCTTTTATATTTTCAGTTTTCAATTTATTTTACTAAATTTGTTATGTGCTTTTCTTTTTTATTTATTTATTTATTTTTTATAATTTTTTTAATATTACAATTTGGGTGTAACTTAGTTTTAGTTTTTATTTATTTCCAGTTAATTTTTGAGATTCAACTTAAAAATTAGAAACGCTGCCATCTAACTGTAATATTGTTTTTTTTTATTTTTACCTAATATTTATTTTATTTCAGCTTTTTTACATTACAAATGTTTTTAATAGTTTTAGTTAACGATAAAAGCCCAAGACAACATTTCTCGTTTTCATTTAGTTGAACTGAAATAACTAAAACTGAAACTGAAATAAAAATCAATAAAAACTGAATAAAGACATATAAAAATATGAAAAATTACTAAAATTGAAAATAAATAGGAAAAAAATAAAAGACAAAAACTGCAAAAATAAATGAGGAATTGTAAGTGATAAATATGTATACTGCACAAAATAAAATATGTAAATATATAGAATACATTAATGTACGAATAAATAAATACAGAAATAATGTATTAATCTTATTTAATAAATACATTGGTCATTAATAACTGTATGGCTAAAGTGTATACAAAAATTAAATACATTAAATCAATGAACACAAATGAAAATGAGTTGAATCACTAACATTATTTTATTTTTGCACTTCTGGTTCTTCATAAACTGATTCACAAAGTGAATCAGATGTTTGGGAGTGAGTGAAATGTTCACATAACACAGTTAAATAACTTACAATAAAGAACAGGATATAATTAAACATCACTAAAACAACATAAAATGGACTTTTTGAAATATTTGAATCGAGAAATGAATCACAAATTAAAATGATTCACCAGTATGAATCGTTCAGTGCCCGCTGAAAGGCGTGAAAGATTCTGTGCCCGTTAAAGACTATATAAAAATACTTAATGAGCACATTTCCTGTTGAAACAGGAAGCAGTCAGTGTTATTTTAGAGAGAGTCTGATTGGACGGAGATCTATGCAGTGCACGATGATGTCATCAGTGCCTCTAGTTTGTTTGACCTGAGGAGAAAAACTGTGTGTTTAACAATCAGGTGTTGGGACTCGACAGCGTGGACGACGAGTCCAAACCGGAGCATCACGTCTTCAACCTGGACAGTCCGTCTCCGGCGCGCTGGTGTGACGACGACAACCCGCCGTACTCGTATTATCTGTACTACATGTACGCCAACATGACCGTCCTCAACCACCTGCGCAGGTACTCACGCCACACCATGTGATCGAATCGCTTTATAAAGGCCTCTGAATCACCTGTCCGTCTGTGTGAGCAGGAGGCGGGGCTTCCACACCTTCGTGCTGCGACCTCACTGCGGGGAGGCGGGGCCTATCCATCACCTGGTGTCTGGATTCATGCTGTCTGAAAACATCTCACACGGACTGCTGCTCAGGAAGGTACGCGGACGCTGGGGAGGGAGTCAAAGAAACTGATTCACTAAAGAACCGCTTCAAAAGAGTCATTTATTCACAAATCAGACTATATTGGTTGTGCAGCACTTGTGTGATTCAGTAAAATGAACCGGTTCACTTAAAGAACCAATTCAAACGAGTCATTGATTCACAAATCAGACTATACTGGTTGTGCAGCACTTGTGTGATTCAGTAAAATGAACCGGTTCACTTAAAGAACCAATTCAAACGAGTCATTGATTCACAAATCAGACTATACTGGTTGTGCAGCACTTGTGTGATTCAGTAAAATGAACCGGTTCACTTAAAGAACCAATTCAAACGAGTCATTGATTCACAAATCAGACTATACTGGTTGTGCAGCACTTGTGTGATTCAGTAAAATGAACCGGTTCACTTAAAGAACCAATTCAAAAGAGTCACTAGTTCAGGAATGTGACTACGGTTGTGTTGGATTCAGTAAAATGAACAGTTTCATGAGAATCATTGATCTGGGAATCGGACTACACTTGCCACACTACACTATGTGGTTTTGATTTACTAAAAAGAACTGGTTCGAAAGAGTCATTTGTTCAGGAATTGGATTACACCGGTTGTGCTGTATGTGTTTGAGTCACTGAAATGAACCAGTTCATAAGAATCATTAGTCCGGGAATCGGATACACTGGTCACGCTAAGTGGATTTAATTTACTAAAAAGAACCAGTTCAAAAGAGTCAATTGTTCAGGAATCAGACTATAACCAGTTGGGCTGCATGTGTTTGATTCACTAAAATGAACTGGTTCATAAGAATCTTTAGTCCTGGAATTGGACTACACTGGTCACACTGTGGATCTGATTTACTAAAAAGAAAGAGTACATAAGAGTCATTGTTCTGGAATCAGATTACACAGGTTGTACTCTTTGTGCTTGATTCAATAAAATGAACCGCTTTAAAAGAGTCTGTTTTTCAGAACTATAAAGGCTTTTTTTTTTTTTTTTGAGTGAATCAAACACGTACAGAGTAACCTATGTAGTCCGATTCCTGAATGAATGATTCTTATGAACTGGTTCTTTTTTATTGACTAATGTAGTTTGATTCCTTTTCCTGGAATGGATTAACTATTGTGTTTTTGATTCACTGAAATGGATGTGGACACTGTGTGAATTTGATTCACTAAAAAGAACCAGTTCATAAGAGTCATTTGTTCAGGACTCGGACTACAGTGTTTCTTTTTAGTGAATCAAACACATACAGAGCAACCAATGTAGTCCGATGCCTGAATGAATGACTCTTATAAACAAATGACTCATACAGTAGCCTATTTTCATTCATTCCACAATTGGATTTCAGTCGTTGCGATATGTGGCTTTGATTCAGTAAAAAGATGCAGCTCGTGAAAGTTATTTGGGTAACGGATTTCACTAGAAGTTTTGATTCATTTAAAGTTTTGGTTCAAATGAATCATTTGTTCAGGAATCATACTACGCTGGTTGTGTCATTTGATTCCAGTACTTTTAAAAGAACAGTAACTAGTTGTTTTTAGCTAATACAGAGCGACCAATATAGTCTGACTCCTTAACAAATCAACCTTATGAACCAGTTCTTTTTAGTGAATCAAACACATATAGCACAACCAGTGTAGGTTCACATATCTTTGTTTTGATTCAACAAAACGGTTCGGTTCATTTGTTTAGAAATTAGATTTCACTAGTCAGTCAAAAACATAGTGCGTAACTAATGTAGTTTCTTTTTGATTCACGAAAAAGAACCGGTTCATAAGAGTCATTTGTTCAGGAATCGGTCTACGTTAGTCACTCTGGATGTGTTAAGAACCGCTTCATAATAGTCACTCATTCAGGAATCATTGGTTTTCAGTATTTTGAACAGGTTCTCGTTTACTACACTTGATAAACACACAGAACTGAATGAGTGAACAGGAAGAGGAGGTCAGATGAGCAGTGATCGTGTACCTGTGTGTGTGTCGTAGGCTCCGGTCCTGCAGTATCTGTATTATCTGGCTCAGGTGGGCATCGCCATGTCTCCGCTCAGCAACAACAGTCTGTTTCTGAGTTACCATCGCAACCCTCTGCCCGAGTATCTGTCCCGCGGCCTGATGGTGTCGCTGTCCACCGACGACCCGCTGCAGTTCCACTTCACTAAGGTGAGCGGCGGCGGCGCGAGACGCTCCAGACTGATGACTCGTGTCGTGTGTGTGTATGTAAATGTGTGTGTGTGTTTCAGGAGCCTCTGATGGAGGAGTACAGCATCGCTGCTCAGGTGTGGAAACTGAGCTCATGTGACATGTGTGAACTCGCCAGAAACAGTGTGTTAATGAGCGGCTTCTCACACAAGGTAACTCACACACACACACACTCACTCACACAGAGACACAGACCCACAGACCCACACATACACACACACTCACAGAGACACAGACCCACAGACCCACACATACACACACACTCACAGAGACACAGACCCACAGACCCACACATACACACACACTCACAGAGACACAGACCCACAGACCCACACATACACACACACTCACAGAGACACAGACCCACAGACCCACACATACACACACACTCACAGAGACACAGACCCACAGACCCACACATACACACACACTCACAGAGACACAGACCCACAGACCCACACATACACACACACTCACACACCAACAAAATGAAACAGCAGTATAATGTAGAAACTATTGACATTATCAAAACTAAATTAACTTTGAAATGTTTAATGATCAGTAATTCAATATTTCTCTTGTATGTTGTGTTAAAATATATATAATCATAATTTTTCTAGTTATGCTCATCTTAAAAATATTTATTTGGCTTGAAATCGGTGTGAAAAATGTATAACATTTTCTAAACTAAACTAAACTAATAAAATCAAATAAAATAAAAATAATAAAATCAAATAAAATTTAATTTAATTAAATAATAAAATAAAATAAAATAAAAATAATAAAATCAAATCAAATTTAATTTAATTAAATAATAAAATAAA